GTTATCGCCATTATTGCCACCTGTTCTACCCACAGCTTAAAACAGTCTGACTCTGAGCTCAACCATGACCCAGACCAACGACCTGCCAAAGGACAGCATGCTGGGAAGAGGGAATCTACAACAGGCAGCTGGTTGTTGTGAATAAATCAATGTTGGGACCAAATGGAAGAAAATTGAATTCATATAAGACTCATTCGATCTGGGGCCCCATGCAAGATCTCATCCAGTTGGGTCTGCAGAGACCTGCAGAGACCTGTGACCAAAGTAACAAAGGCTTCCATCAGTAACACACTAGACCAAGAGGGACTCACATCATGCAGTGCCAGACTTGTCCCCCTGCTTATGCCAGATGCCAAAATGATGTGGTCCAATGAAACCAAAATAGAACTTTTAGACATAAACTCAACTAGTCGTGTTTGGAGGAAGAAAAATGCTGTGTTGCATTCTGAGAACACCATTCCTACTGTGAGGCATGGGGGTGGAAGCATCATGCATTGGGGCTGTTTTTCTGCAAAGGGCAACTGATCCATATTAACGATGGAATGAAAGGACACAAGCATCATGAGATTTTTTCCCATCAGTGAGAGCATTGAAGAAGGAACATGGGTCTTCCAGCATGGTAATGATCCCAAACACACCACTTTACCAAAAAAAGGCTTAAAGTACTGGAGTACCCTAGCCAAACTACAGACCTCAGCCCAATAGAAAATTTGTGGAGGCAGTAGAAATTCTGTGCTTTCCAGCAATAGCCCCCAAAAATCCCTGCTCTAAAGGAAGCATGTCTGGAGGAATGGATCAAAATACCAGCTGCAGTGTCTACAGTACTTTGAGGTCTGTCATTGTGACCCTTTCTAGAGTAAACAAAATATTGGAAGCAGTTTTTCATGAGAATATCTCAACCGAGTAAAGTATTAACCAATAAAATGTAAAGTATTGTTAGGAATCAAAGAACTTTACACTTAGAAAAGCATTTCAAGGAAAAATATTAACTTTGGGGTGTCACTTAGTGAAAGAGAAGGTTCAAAACACAGAGGCCTTTAACTGCATGTTTTTCTGCTCTCTCCTCCAGTCGTCTTCCTGTCAAGCTGCCCATGAATCCAAACAAAAAGAAACTTTTCTTTCTTTGAGTAAAACTATTTGTTGTTGATGAAGGTTCTCAGTCATCCAGGTCATAGTCATCCCTATATGACTATGACCTGGATGACTATAACTATTTGTTGGTTGAAGTAGGTTGGTCTTTGTCCACCAGCTGACGAAAATTATTTAATCCTCTAATGTCAACACAGAGCTGCATGTCTCCAATCTACTGCCATGGTCTTTGTTGAAACACAAATTATCTTTAAAAGCTATAAATGAATAGGAGGCTATGGTTATCAAGTGAGAAGTGTCCAGGATGAAGATCAGCTCAGACATCTGTTTCCTCTTCTTTTGGGAGGTGATCCTTCCTAATAAATCTAGGACCAGTAGACTCAACAGGGGCTATATCTAACATGCTAAGGCTGCTAAAACAAGGGACAGAGGAGACAATACATAATTGTAAACAAAGAAAAGCATCAGAAAATATGGATTTATGATATATACAGTAAATTATATTGAAGTTTTTTTTCCAGAATTCCTGTATTCCTGCTATAATCCTTATAGGTATATCAATACTTTATATTTTGAAGGATGTTTACCTTATATAAACCTCACACAATCTGTTTTTGTGCTCCAGATTCTAGATTGAGCAGTGTGGTAAGATTAGAAGGAGCTGTCTAAGACCTTCGACACAAAAAGCAGTTTATAGGGCTGAGATATTTGAACGAATCCTAAATGAATTTAAAAAATGCCACATTCATGTAAATAGTTTTCAAGTGGAGGACAGAACAACTGCCAACATGTCGAGGTCTCATCATCAAAGCAGTTTGAAGGTTTCATGTCTAAACATACATGTCTCAAAGCGCAAAGAAATGTCCACTGACTTCAGGAGAACCATTATTTTTCTCTCACCTGTGTCCATAAACTCAGAGCCTATTATCAGAGATAGATGGGTACTATAATTGATGTTAAAATTCAGTGTACTCCCATTTGGTTGCAGATACAATTGGGGATAATTAAGAATATTTAACCTAGAAAGAAAATATGAATTTTTAATGACATCTCCGAATGTCATCTAGGAACCTACAGCATGCTAGAATATGGCTGTACATTCACAAAGTATAGTATAGCTTAAGCTTTTAAGGGGGATGTGAAAGGGGAAAAAAGCTTCTCTTTAAGAAAAACTGAAAGAGTAAAAAAAAAGGCACTTTTTTACACCACTTTTTAGGAATATATTACAAGTAAGATTAGAGATCAATATGTTTGAAGTTCCTGGAAAAGTGTATATACAGTATATTTAAACTGGTGGTGGGCTGCTCAGTGGGTAGCACTACTGTCTTACAGCAGTAAGCTTCCGGGGTCTTTCTGCATGGAGTATGCTTGTTCTCTCTGTGCATGTGTGGGTTCTCTCCGGGTACTCCGGCTTCCTCCCACATTCCAAAAACATGAGTGTTAGGTTAATTGGCTTCTCTGTGTGTGTGTGAATGGTTTCTCCTGTTTGTCTCTGTGTCTCAGGACTGGCGACCTGTCCAGGGTGTACCCCGCCTCTCCCCTGTAGACAGGAGATAGGCACCAGCATTCCTCACGACCCCAGCAGGGATAAAGCATGACGGAAAATGGATAGATGGATAAACTGGTGGCAATTTTTTTGACATGCTCGTATGTAATTATAGTAATTCAAGATTCTTTTAATAATTATCTTGATTTATTTCATTCCAACATGCAGATGCTACAGCAGTTCGTTCCTGAAGCAGACTTTCTGAATAGGAACCTTTAAGATAAACTGATTTTGCATTATTATTAGAATACAATGGTGTGTCATAAATTTGGTGACAGAAAGTTGTAGTGAACAATTAGCTAATAGCAACATCAGACCACAGAGAGAGCCAGATAACAGACAGCAATTCTGACATTTCATGACTGCTGGATTGGTAGACATTTTTCAAATGATTCAGCAACATATAACAGCATTTTAAATAGATGTAAAATATAAACACCCATACAACATTTCCATGTGGAAACTGGTGATACAGATGCAAACACACCATATTTACAGTTATTCCATATAATAACAGTTATTTTGTGAACATAGCTAATGGCTTAAGAAATTACAGCTTCAATCAAAAACTAGATGTCCATAACCCCTTGATGATAAGCAATTCCTACTGGTTTCTTAATATTGGCTTGTGGAAAATTATTCAATGATTTAGTGAAGTGTGAATACATTGTGTCCCAAAAATTCTTGCACTGTCAACAGTTTCCTTGTGCATGCGTGTGTGCAGCTGGGAGCTGAAAGTCCAGTGTCAGCATATGGTATCTGTTGCAGAAAGTCTTTGTTCTGAAGCACAGCTACATCCCTGGGATTTGTCTTCTGAATTAAGCTCTGTGCTGTCTGATACCCAGTGGTTGAGTATGCAGATAATCAGTCAATAGAGGGTTTATCTGACCTCCATCTGCAGGGGGCATCTAACAGTCACCTCTATGTTCTGAGCCCACGTGGTTCCTCTCAGGGAACCATGAATAACAGAAAATATACATTCAGACAGTGCAAATGGAAAGACATAAACCAAACATATAGCTGCTGTAGAGTCATGGTGTGATCACCACTGGGGCGCTCTCTGCAAACCTGGACCCTGTAAAAGAAAAGCACAACATTAGAATTGCTGCTTTGCAGAGATTTTGAAATGTTGAAACATCCTTGGATATTTATTTATGAGAAACAGATAGAATTCAAAATGTGCAGTTTTTTCTATGACCAAAAGAACTGATCTCAATCTGTCTGTTACTAATGGGGAAAACAATCACAAGATTAGGAACATCCAATGTGAAATAAATGAACTATATTTTAACTTTTTTTTTTTTTACTGTGCCCCAAAACATTTATACTGTGGAAATATGGCCAGCTCTCTGTACATTTTGATTAGTCTTTGTATAGGACCTCTAAGTTTTTAAGGTTGGCAGGCCCATTGGTCATCACTCTAAACCTTAGATCCCTTCACAGATTTTCAATTTTCAGAGACATTTTTGAAGTTTCAATGAAAATATCTTTAACATAGCCTTTTTTTTTTTACTAATTGGTGAGCAGACTGATGCCTCAGTAGTTCAGCGCCCATACATCTACCACTCTACAGCCTATTTCCCATAAATGCACTACGGGTTTGAAGTTTGCGTTCTGTTTCGGTGGGAACCTCTGACCTAGCAAACAATCGAAGAGTTATACTCAAAATTGATTTTGGAGATACTCAGATGTGAATGGCACCACCTCAACTCAAGACACCAACTCCATGTAAGGTGAAAATATAAAAAAAAACTTGTCAAGTACCAGTGCAAGCTACGATAAGCAGGAGAGTGCTGCAATTATGTTTTTTGGCCACAGGAGAATCATTGAAAAACACCATAATGCTTTTTTAAGTCAGGTTAAAAAATGCATTTTAATCAAATGTTGTACTGCAGGGATATGAACATTTTTTAGCCATAACTTTGTCTGCTTCAACTAGATAGATGGATGTACCTTAAAGAATCAAATTTAGGCATCCTTGCATAACAGTGACTAGTTCACAAAAATCAGCTAACCATGGTGCAAATTTGAAGATACCAAGACATGAAACCTTGTTTAACATGATATTTTGCACAGTTAACCTATTGTATTGTAACCGTAATAAAGACAAATCTGAATTGCAAACTGGGACAAATTTGCACCTAGGTTATAGATCAGCTTTGCATATGCTGTCAAGTTTGTTCATGTTTTTACACATGCAAGCCACAAGATTAGGCTCCCTGGAGTAAACACACAATTCAAATATCCGAGGGTAATCTAAGTAGAGTAATTAGCTTTATGATAGTTAACTGGCCAAAAAGAGGATCAGGATTCTAATTATTTGAAATAAGTTTTAATACATTACTCATATACAAGCTGTATAAAATTATTCATGAAATGCCCTTTATGGTTATTTTACTGCAACATTTTACTAGAATACCAACCGAACAGGAGTAATAACACTGACATGCAAAGGTAATGTCATTTGGCTACCAAATGCTTTTGTTTAATACGCTATAATGACATCACAAAACAACAGTGCAAACTCTCTAAAAGGGGAAGTAGTGGTGATAACACTTTTATTTGCCTTTGTTTCTTTGGTCATCCTGCATCTTTCTCAACCTCCTGCTACCTCCTTCAAAGCCTTTTTTGTGACACAAAGCCATGTTATGCATTGAAATAATAAAAAGATAAAAGCCATTGGGAAAAAAAGGCCTTGAACACTTTTCTGTTAGCCTTTCTTTGTCTTTGTGGACAAAAGTGTTTGGAAAAAGAGGCTTTTAATCACAAAAGGACTATATCCTAAGAAAAACAATTGCTTAATTTCTTGGATTTACATGCTTTTTGTGGTGAAATGATTTACAGGTTGAGGGTGATGAAGGCTAAAGAACATTTAGAAACTGAAAATACTTAATGCTGCAGGGACTAAGGAAGAATGCCAAGAAAAATACTCAACAAAAGAGGTTACACCCTCAGAGAGTATAGAGAATTAATTAGATTAGTCCTTTTTTTATGAAGACGAAAGTTTAAGTTTTTATAAAGAACTGTATTATAAGATAATAAACCCTTAATACATCTGTCTGATCCCTTTAAGTTCTTTAATGTAAATATAAATGTATATTAGATAATTTGAGAGTAACAAGTTATATTTACTATATATCAAAAAAATATGTTTTATAACATTTAAATTCGTTATAATATAGACTTAAAGTTACATTTCTTGACTTATTTCTGCCTAAATTTGTATTAAGCACATTTTCAACGTTAAAGCATAACACTACTAATACCTTAAGAAGTCACAGCATGAAGATTTTAATACTTTATAAAAAAAAATGTTTATGAGCAAACAAAACCCTTTTCACCAGCAACATTCCTTGTATTTGGCATAGAGAGGAAAATATCTATGGATTGCTTCATAGAGCAGGTATGAGACACAAGGCCTTGAAAGAAGAGACGGCTTTAGGTAAAAAAAAAAAAATCTAAACAAAGAAGTGATTCATGGTCAAACCTCAGAAGAAGTTGCCATGGACACAGCAGGAGCTGAGAATCTGACATGATCAGGAGCAGAGAATAGGAAAGTATCCTTAAGGCAGCAAGAGATAATAAGAGCTATGAATAAAAGGAGAAGCATTGGTGGAGGAGTAGAGGGTTTGACCTACGCTTGACTGTAGGTGTGTACTGTTCCCAGGCTCGGTGTGTGTTGAGGGGGTGCTGCTCCCGCTGTTGGCTGCAGAGGCCAAGGAGGCTCTGGGAATGACAATGTCAAAGGACGGCTGCTGCTGCTGCTGTATGAAGTCACACCACAAGAAAAAAAAAATCAAGGCATTAGGGCAAGGACATCTCTGTGTAATCTAATGACCTAATTCAAAAATACTCTAGTTGGGAGGATCTGTATGTGCATTTAAATATTTGCTTCAAGTCTAAATTTAATCTGTCAAAGTTGACCTTTCATCCTTTTTCTTGGTCCGAATTAGTTTCCATTGTTTTATTATCATCTCAGGGGAACATAAAACCATCATTTCTCTTTTGAAGTTATTACCTTTAGGTTTTTACTGGAGATAAAGCTTTCTTTGGTAAAGGATAAAGGCATGTTTTTGAGTTTCACTTTATTTTAAGCTTCTCAATAAATGCATTAAAAACATGAATTTGGCATCATTATTTTAAAAATCTGCCTCATTTTCAAAGCAGCGTTTTAGTCATTTAGCTTTTCAAAAATATAAAGTAACTTCTGTTTTTGTGATTGTCCATAATTAAATCTTGACTCATAATGCCATTAGAAATATTATTTTTGTTTTCTAAACCTCTTTCTCTCTACCAGGTACTGACTAGGGGTGTAAATCACATCCATCATGGCGATTCGATTCAGTATCGATTTCCTGACCCAACGATT